TGAACCCTAATGCGAGAATCAAAGTCATATTTTGAAACGAGACTTTGCATGTCATGACTCAATATAACAATAATAACTACTTATATCTCAGTCTAGATCGTGATGACTCACTTATACTATATATGAAATATTATCTTTTCTTTTTGAATTATATCTATGAATATCATTAACACTTAAAAATCATGAGTTTTAATTTAAAGATTTTTGTCTTGATAAAAATGGAAATGACTAGTTATAATTAAAAGACACAAAAATATAGAAGCCACATATCTATCTCTTTATTCCAACATATATGAAGCCACTTAAACTATAAAAAAAAAGAAAAAAGTAAAGAGAATGATTCAAATAAAGTTACAAGAAAATGGGAATTAAAATAATATCACATGTTTTCTAATATAAATTACCTAAATAGTCGTATCCACGTTTAATTAGGAAAAGAATTTATTGTCAGGGGGTTCATTAGAAAATATTACCATTTATATATGGTTAAAATTATTTTATGTATATATAGTAAATGTCGAATCTTTAATTTATGTGTTTACTTTTCAAATTTTGAATCTACTTAGTAAAAATTCTAGCTCGATCACTGATCTCCAGTATGGGAGGACACCAAAATTATCAAACGATGAGAATAAGATAGAGAGGATGTTAAAGGAGCTCAAGGACACATATGAACACTAACTCTATTAATGATCGTAACCATCACTTCTAGACTAATAAGCTTTTGAAGATGAAGTGCATATGAGACATGTGAATCTTACTTCAGAATGAGATAGAAAAGTGAAGAACTTTAATTCTATTCTACTATATTATAAAAGAGAGTTTAGACCCAAGATTGAGACTTTTCCCAATCTTGAATATTATATATTATACTTGTGGGACTTTCTATTTTATTCTATTTCTATTCTATTCTATTTTCTATTTCTATTTTTTCTATTTTCTACTATATTATAACTTCAATATTATATATTATATTTATTATATAGTAGAACTTGGGCATAAACTCCCTTTTAAAATAATATAGAATATGTATATATATATATATATATATATATA